ATTTTTACTTTGAGGAAAGGAAAAACATTTTTTTCCAGTTACACTTGTAGAAACAAATCTTTTTGCCTTTAATGACAGAATACTGTCACTTAAAGTTAATTTTCCATCTCACTGTTTAATACTTCGCTTATAATTACACCATATCAAAGGAAGTTTCACCTGGTCTTAGAAGTCATGCAGTCCTGCATTCATAGAGTTTCTTGGCTTGCTATTCAGGCCTTTTATGATATTTTATGGTCAAACACCTGTGGAGTACTTTTCCCACAGAAAGAAAAATTTAAAAAAAAAGTTTAATTTAGCCTTGCCATCTTTGTCAAGTTGATATCCAGGCATATCGGACAAAAAGTAACTAGGGGTGTGCATTCAGCCAGGTGCTCCAGAAAACAATTCACATAATTTTATTTTTTTTTTAGAGTTCGAGGGGTAAAAAAAAAAAAAAATATCCCACCACAACATATGCAGGAAGCAGTTGCTCAGTTTCCTTATTAACAAAATTGAAGTAGTTTCATTTCCACACTTTTCATACTTCTCGCAGGTTCAACTCACTCATGAATAAAACTGCATTTCCTTGATCTTACCACACATGAGGAACAGCAAAAAAACTCTATCTTGGGTTTCCATGGTAGTAACACCAAAACAAACAGTGACCTCAACAGGAAGCGTAACCCAGCAGATATTACTAAATCATGCTTTGCAAAACACAAAAAAGTTGACTTTGCTCCTATACATACTTGATTCACCATTCATTTATCAAAGAGCATTACAGCTGTTGACTTAACAATGACTAAAGCACTCTGTGTTTGGCTTTCCACGGAACAAACCAAGTCTCATGCCACAGAAAAAGAACCATGCAGACATTCCACGCTGGAGAAATTGCATCTCCTCCCCAAACTCCTCTGCCCCTTCTCCATCGTAATCAAAGTTCCTTCTGTAAAGCAAGTATTATACTGTGAAAGCTTATGCAGAACAGTCTCACTGCCAGATTCTTATTTTCTCTAGTGAAGCATGAGACCATGCTGCCAGCAGGACTGTGACCTACTGATTCATTTTACCAAGTTCACAGAGGTGACAGACAGGGCAGGAATCCAGACTAGCAGAACTTTATTCTAAAAGAGTCTTCAACAAAAAGCATTCAATCTTTATTTTCCCCATACCCTCAAAGCAAGGTTTGAGAACACAGTGTATATTGTATTTGGGAGAAATAGCAGTCTGTTTGTTGTACAAGTACTTTTCAAGCTGGAGCTACTGTTTTTAGGCTTCAACTCTGTTGTACAATCTCGTTTTATATACAAAGCTATCTTCACGATCCTCAAGTGCAAGAGCAAATCCAATTCCTCCCGAGAAAAAAGAAAACCGTACAGTGAGCCTTAGACTCCCCATCCCCTTTAAAGGGAAATTATAACAGACTGTAAGGTATCACTTAGTATTCACATAGTAGCTAAACAGACTGTCTTGGAACTGTATTTCCCCACACTATTCACTGCCTAGACATTTGCCAGTCATTCTATGTCTCTAAGAAGCACGGTGACCTGACTACAAACCAGTTATACATGTATCTGTAATAACATCTGTTCTGCATATATTCTCAGTGCTGAAAATTCATTCTGAAATTTGCATTTCCTGCAGACTGAGGCTGTCCAGAACCCAGGGATTCAGACTAAAACAGACATCCGGCTACACAGTAGACTTGCTTCCTCCAGTCACTTGCGAAGACAGCAATATGAGTTTTATAGCACACAAACAAACTAACTAGAAGTTAAATGAAAAGTCTGAGCTGAAGTAATGGTGTCCTTAGATTTCTCACAGCCAAACAGTTAAGCAGGGTATGTTAACACAGGACTGCTGCTTTTCTCTCACAAGACAGTAAATATATAAGCTAGTCACTGCTAAAAGGATAGGTTAGAAACTGTGGGACAGTAGTTCTGCTGAAGGATGAGTAGATTGTTTGAGCCTTAGTTGTCTTGTACTGGAGAGGAAACAACTCCTGTCAGATGAACTGTGCTATAACTGTTAAATGTGGAGAAAAAACCCAAACCTGTTATCAACAGTGAAAATAGACTTTCCTGAGACAGTTCAGAAGCGTGTTTTCTCTTCATACAAAACCAGACAATGGTATGAATGTACTATTCACATACATATACATGTTTTCCTCCAGTACAGCACCAGTTCCTTGAAAGCCAACAGCAGCTCTCCAAAGAGACAATGCAGAAGCTCACAACTGAAGAAAGGACTCAAGGACTACTGATATTTGGAGAAATCTTAGACAGTTCATCTCAAGTTTTCTAGAAACAGAAAACATCCCATTATACTACCCTGTGCAGTTATACATTAGCAGCTGTGGGCAGGGAAATAAATCTTCCTGGAGTATCAGCTGAATGTCTGAGCTTCCACGCCACATGATGCTCCACTGGGCATTCATTTCCCTATGCTCTGATGAATGCCAGGGTTACAGAACATGGAACTTCGAAACTCAGACTTTGAGTTCAGAAGAGCAAGGGAATGGCAACTTACCTGGGGGACAACATGGCAATTCCTGTTTTCTTATGCCTAGTGTTGTTGGAACTTCCCACCCAACAGGGAGGTTAGCTATTCATTAGTCCCTAACATTTACCTTCATTTGCCAGGCAGTAAATAGATACAAGTCACTACCAAATAAAAAGTTAACATAAGGTAGCAAGCAGATTTTGTACAAGAACTCAAGTTATTTCAGCTCAGGGTACGAGACAAAGACAGGGGTGAAGCCCACAACATGTGTTGAAGTAACCCATTACTGCTGATGGACTAAAAATCTGTCATGGACCTCTCCACCTCAAGACAAGTTTCTCTGAAAGGCCAAGTAGTTTACTGATTTTGATAAACTTGACTGGAAACTTTCCAGAACATTCTTCCACTTTTCAAGAAAGAGGGAAGTTGGCAAAAAAAGAATGAAGTAAAAGATAAGGAGGCAAACAGGTTGAGAATAGGAATTAAAGGATGGAGATTGAAGACATGCAGCTATTGCAGGGTTGAGGCGAACTATTATTCTTTCATTCCAATGTACAAAATCTGAAAAAGTTTTGATTAAGAAAACATCAGTAGTCAAAAAAGAAGGGAATTACTTAGTACCAAACACACTGGTACATAGCAAAGCTTCCCAGTTTTCCCTGCACTGACTTGTCACAGATCCTTGACTGTTCTCTCCGGAAACGAGCTTCACCCAAGACAAAGGAGGTGATAAGGAAATGTGAACAAGGGAGGGAAGAGAGGAAGAACAGACACAGTTTTCCAAACATACGTATAGTAGAAACAGAGAAAACATGAAGTTCTTCACATCATAAACACCTCTCAGCAGTATTAATACTAAAGCTGAACAGAATAGAAAATATAAGTTACTTTCTACAAACAGAGCTTTTCTGGTTTCTTTTGTGGCAGTAGCTTCCACGTCTGTCTAAGCACATCCAGAAAAGTCTTGAAGAATTTTTGAAGTTGATGAAGAAGAAAAGATGACCAAAGAAGAATATGACAAAAATAGTCAAATAAACTTACAATGCACACAACTAACCATTACAGTGCAATTTAAAGCAGATGTTCAGCAACTACAAGGTCACTCAAACAAAGAGTCCACTTTGCGTGGAGAATTTTATCACTATTTCACAGCACATGTTTACTTTCTCTTTAGATGGAGAAATTCTGAATACGAATGCTCCATCTTCCACAAATATGCATCTCTCCCCTCCTGAAGTTTAAAAAGCTTTCAGTGAACAAGCTCTGTAACACAATCAAATTTAAGTTTTAAGTTGTGCTTAGAAAATACAAGCAAATCTACTCAGTAAGCTTGTTTTCATTACATACAGATGGCCTAATATTGGCTGGGGGATATGTAGTTCCCAAAACCAGGACCCTCATCCAGGTTACATTATCACAACATAACATCACTACGAGAAAGCTGTAACTCAAGGCAAACCCGCTTCACGAGGATTCAGCCTCAACTTAGCAGGTAGCCTTCTACACTGCACAGCTACTTCTGTATCAGTTTCTAGCCCGCAACCTGGAAAAGCATGCGGATACACAAAAGTGCATACGCATACCTCAAAACACTTAAATATAACAATTCAGGAACACAAACCATACATGTCCATACAACACGCATTTCAAAAGACTAGTTTTCATATCTGAGTGAGGGTTCTGTACACTTTTAACCCACGTTCATAATCAAAGTTCCACCTGCCTTTATCAAATAGCATTGTAACAGATACTATAAGGAAGTTCTTACTAAAAGAAGTCATCGCTTAAGTGCTGCATTTGATTTGCAAGAGCACTAAAACCAGAGATTTAAAGGTGTGTTCCACACAAAGTGAGTTTTACATATGAAGTTTTAAACAGGGAGTTTTGGAAACAGATTTAGTGCAATTGGTTACCTCCCACTTTCTGTTACTTATCCTTCACTTATTGACAGTTTGACTCCAAACTAACTAGCCAATATGCCTTTAACAACCCACAAACCAACCCAAGTTTCTGTCTCAGGAGGATAATCCACACAAATGCTGAGAACACATTATTTGCAATGAGCGAGTCTCACCAAAGGTCTGAAATTAATCTTCAGCATATCCACAAACAGCATTTGGGCTGCACGAATTTATGTTTCGCACGCACCTGCACATTATACCTGAACACAACTATCAGATCTCGGGGACGTTTTTTTTTTGGAGGGGATGCGTGTTTTCATTTGCATGACAGGGCAGGGGTACCCACTCGGCTACCTGGGGAACAAACTGCAGAGTCTTAATTAGCGCCGGGAGCAGAGGAGGAGTTTTTGGTTCCGCTCGCCGGCGAGACAGCTGTAGGTTATTCCGCAGGCAGCTCCCCCCCCCCCCCAGCTCCCCAAACCTTTGAGACGGGGCTCGGGAGGAGCAGGGGAGGGGCGCACCGCTCCGCCGGCCCCAGCAGAGCCCCCGGGGTGTGTGTGTGGGGGGGACACACGCCGACCGGCGCAGATAACCGGCGGGCAGCCCCCACCTTACCTTTTTCACTTTGCTCTCCAGGTCCATGCTGCCGCCGGGCCGGGCCGGGGTGGGATGGGATGGAGGCGGTTCCTGGCCGTCGACGCCGGGGGCGAGGTGACACCCGCCGCCGCCGCCGCCGCCGCGCTCAAACTTCCGCTGCCCTGCGGCAGTGGCTGCAGCCGAACAAAGGCAGGGCGGCAGCCAATCCCCGCCCGGCCGCCCGCCGCCCGCCAGCCAATCACCCGCCGCCGCCGCCTGCCCCGCCCCGCCCCGCCCCGCCCTGCCCGGTGCCGGTGCCGGTGCCGGCGGAGCTGGGCCTGGCGGGGGCCCGCCCGCCTTCCCGCCCGCCCTCGCGGCTCTGGAGTCATCCCTGGCGGGGTGGGAAGGTCACGGGGAAGGCGTTTGATGGCGCAGCATTTTAGCTTCCAGTACAGACGCCCTGGAAACGCGGTGATTCCCAAAGGAGGGAAAAAAAAAAAAAAAAACAAACTATATATATACGTATACATAGGACTTAAGTGATTTATTGACAGAAGTAGGAGGGGGAGGCGAGAGCGGGCGAGTCCTTGCTTCGCTGAGACACTTCCCACATCCTCAGTGACTTCCTTGACAGTGCCAAGCCCGCAAGGGCTGGGTTCCAGTCTCCCACCTTCCTGCTGCCTGGTTCGGGCATTGTGCTTGCGATAAGTAATAGAAGAATTTTGCTTTCGCTAAAAGTAATTAAACAATTCTTAGGCTAAAGCTATTATTAGTACAATGATCGAAATTTTAAGAAAAGTAAAAGACTTTACTACTGGGAAAAGGGGGGAATTGATCTGAGGAAACACCAACCCAACAGCCCCCCCTCTTGGGATGCTCACCAGATGATCCATATCAAAGGGTGGTAACTCCTTTGCAATGCAATGAGAAAGAGCAGAATGGGCCATCTCTGGTATCCCTTGTCCTTGAGATAAGAGAGGAACTGAAACCACTGAGCCATAAAAGACAAAGGAGCTGCAAATTGGCCCAGACTTGAAGGACAAGGTGTACGTGATCACAGGACTGAAGAAAGAAGATAAGATTGTAGAAGAAGCCAGGAGGCGCGCCGAAGGTGTTGAAACCGGCAGCTGGGTGGGTAAAAGGGGGTTTGAAACTTAAACAATTTGGTGAGCCTGGACGGAGCTGGGACTCCTCGGCCACCCCAGCGCTGCATTTGCTCTCTTACCTTAATAAAGATTCATTAATCCATATTTGGATGTGATTGGCCTTAATCTACCTATAACAGTGCTGGGGACAGGCTGGGCACCTCTTTGTGAAAACTGTTAAAATGTCACCCCGTTCGGGATGAGCTCTTGCTGAAGCAACGGAGGAGCATGGGTTGTGCCCGTTTGCAAAGGGAGTGGTGGGGAGCGGAGCTGCTGTGCAGGTGGTGGCCCAGGGAGAGGTACCGCGGCAGGGGCAGGACACTACTGCTGACCTTCCGCTCAGCCCATACCCTTGTGCCAACCCTCTAACTAGCCCAAACCCTACTGCTGACCTTCCTTCCACCCAGCCCAAACCCTACTGCTGACCTTCCACCCGGCCCAAACCCTACTGCTGACCTTCCACCCAGCCCAAACCCTACTGCTGACCTTCCTTCCACCCAGCCCAAACCCTACTGCTGACCTTCCACCCGGCCCAAACCCTACTGCTGACCTTCCACCCGGCCCAAACCCTACTGCTGACCTTCCTTCCACCCAGCCCAAACCCTACTGCTGACCTTCCACCCGGCCCAAACCCTACTGCTGACCTTCCACCCAGCTCAAACCCTACTGCTGACCTTCCACCCGGCCCAAACCCTACTGCTGATCTTCTGCCCAGCCCAAACCCTACTGCTGACCTTCCACCCAGCCCAAACCCTACTGCTGACCTTCCACCCGGCCCAAACCCTACTGCTGATCTTCCGCCCAGCCCAAACCCTACTGCTGACCTTCCACCCGGCCCAAACCCTACTGCTGACCTTCCGCCCGACCCAAACCCTACTGCTGACCTTCCACCCAGCCTGATGTGTAGAACTGCTTTTTGATGCACGTTCTGTGGCCTAATTCTGGTCCCTCTCACCCTCACTACATCTGGAGGAAATTACTTGTTTTGCCTGAATGGGTTTGCTTCCACCTGAATCCACTCAACATGTTTCGGCTCTCCAGAACCGGGTCTCATCATGTGTTACCACATGTTTTACAGTAGTGATTTCTTTATATTCATTGAACTGAACAACAATTTTTTGTCCTGTCGGCACTGCATGAATACTGTGAAAAAAAATTTAGATTTTGATCCCCGTCTTCAAAATCATATGCACGTGACCAGTCCTGGGATACCACTGATATATAAAATATCTTTTATATATAATGTATATATAATATAAGATGACAGAACAATTAAACATTTGCAAGATTGAATGCTTCCATAAATTTTTTCTTCTTGCATATTTCTTTTGATCATGGGAAAAAGTAACAAACAGTGATACAGACTTTATAGCTACCCTAGGCAGTGGTGGTAAATAATTTGGTAGGTTATTTTGTCATTCATCTGCAGAATCTAATCTTTTCTCTCCACATGTACCAACTTTTCCTAAGTAAGTCTTAGGTCATTTTGTTTCTTCCCCAGAGGCCAAATATAGTTCTCTTTCAGTGTTTATTTTTTTGTCTGTCATCACTTGTTGAAAGATGTTTGCAATGAAGCAAAAATGAGATTAGGTCTGTTTGTTGTCTGGTAACAGATAAAAGCAAAACTTTGTTTTTTTCTGTTGGGACAGGCATCATGGTGTATGGCATGGGCCAGCCGCTCCTACCAATTAATCTATACAGCAGACCTTGGCCAAGAAGTTCAATATAAAACTAAGAGATGATGTTCTCAAGCTGTAACATGAGAAAAAATGAGACAACACAGGCCATCAGGTAATGCTGCTCTGCTCAGTGTGTGTCTGTTCCAAAGAGAGGTGAATAATAAGGGCTGTTGCATGAATTTTGTTTGGGTTTGAAATTTTGGGTTTCATTTCTTGTTCTCATTCTAGTTTGTTTGGTTTAGTGGTTCCTTCCTGCTGGTTTTGGGGGGTGAAAGACAAGGGGAAGTTAGAAAGCCTGAAATCTTGATATGTCTGGGACCATTTATTTTGAATACCATTCATGCTCATAACTTCCTCAGACTAAGATCAAAGGACTAAGCAAGAAACTATTCCTGTTGAGTGAATGCGCTGTCAAATGATATAATGTAATAGTGAAAAATGCCAGCAATTACAAAGACTTGCTGGGTACCTTTGACTGTGCTAAGTAGAGAAATTAAAGCATTATAGTCCTCATTATATGCTTTTCATATGGGAACAAATGGAGAAGCATATATTAATTTTAGGAAGCTAAAAAAAATGAAACACAGTCTTCTGTGATTTAAGTGTATTTTGCTTATTCTTATCTCCCTGAGAATAATAGCATAATAATGGTTTTGATCATGACATTTTTCTTTTTTTTTTTTCCCTATTAAACTATGACGCTGATGGATTATTAATTTCTTTTGTTTATGTTTTTCTTTAACCTCTTGAGTTGGAGATGCTCTGGTTGTGATTTGTGAATCTTTCAATTGTGTATTTTAGTGCCAAAATATTGGAAACTTTAACAGCCTTCCTATCTATGAATTTGTATATGAAGCCTACAAATTCATATGTGTAATGGAAAATGCAGACTAATATAAGACTTCTCTTTTGCAAACCAGCAGATTGCTGTTGGAACACACTTCCTCTGAGACCTGAATCAATAAAGAATGCATTTTAAGATTCTCTTTTCTGTGTGTTCTATGACTTTAATTAGTCTGGCAGAAATAACTTCCTTTTCTGTGAATGTGATCCAATACAGCTCTTCCCCTTAAGGATTCTGAAGTTGCCAGGCACACAGCATTGAGATGTGCCAGGGCACAGAGCTGGAATTTCTCATAACTGTCTAGGAAATATTGAATACCTGTTTTAATTATTAGTATTTTTTGAAGAAAGAACAAGACTCATCCCAGCACTAAATTTCCCACAACAACTTTCATGGAGACAACAGGCAGAAGATAGGAAAAAGCTAATATTTCTACCATACACACTTCTGGGAACATAGATGACAGAGCGTGGATGACTTGTCAGATTGTCTTCCTGGTTTTCTGATTTTCTTTGCACTCAGATACTGTAATAATGAATGCACTTGGAGTAAATATATATCTCCAAACATTATATATGTAGATTATATAGATGATTCATAAGTCTATCCTTGAATGAGAGATAGTATCATAATGACTTAGAAATGCTGAAAATTTCTTTCTAATAAAGCTGTTGTTTAATACACTTCTTTTGTTTAAACTTTGAAGCAAATACTTCAGACCAGCTTCCAGCTAAATTCTTTTGGTTGCACTGTTTACTCAGTGCTTCATATGTTATAACTAATGACACTGTGTGCTTTTAAGATTATTTTTTAAAAATATGATCGTAAGTGCAATATAAATATAGAAGTCTGTCTTGCCTCAAACTAGCTTATTACACTAAATTAATTTTCAAAAAACATTTCAGTTTGAGAAAGGAATAACATTTGCCTTTTTATATCCACTTGGCTAAAACAAGGGAAAGTTATGTGGAATGTATTGAGGTACATCCAATAAAAACCCAGCAGGGAACTTGAGTGTTTAAATCAAAAGTTGCAAATCTGACTGCATTACTGATTATTTGCATCTCAGCCAAGCATATATTTAGTTCACCATTGTATGTTAATTGATTTACTTTCTGCTTACTTAGATTTGGGATTCTGTGGATGTTAGTATTGACAGAGTAATTTGATACCTATTTCATGCTTGGTCCATTCAAGATCTAGAGACTAAACTTCATTGTATGTAATTCTTCAGGGAGCCTTAATGTGTTAGGAAGTTTCAGACCATGCATGAAATAGAGGCTGATTTAAGATCCTTACAAAATTCTGTAACAGCTATTGCATTTTAAAAGGAATATAGTGAGAAGAGGCTCTGCACCACTTTTTCTTTAATGCCTGAATAGATGGTGAACTTACCCCCAGGTTGGAATACAATGTTGTAAGATTTCCTCAGTCCGGGGGTGCATTCAAACTACAGTTTCCATCCGCTAGGACTATGGCCTAACTACCAGACCTTGGCTACATAGTTGAACGAGATGTTTTA